CATTTTCTTTTTTTTTCAAGCGAAAATGAGATTAGATTTTGGCACGCACAGAACGATGCGCAAGTACCAGTTGCTCGACAAACCTGCGTGGCCCGTTCGACGAAAAAACTTCACGGGATTGGCAAACTTTCAGTCACAGCAAATTATGCAAAAAATCTAGAAAGATTTAACCTTAAATCTCGTTTAACGTTTAAAGCGACATATCAATGACTGCAACCATCGTGTTGTATACAAACCTCGCAAACTTTAAAACACGTTCTCTAGTTATACCTAAGAAAGTATTCAGTATAATCTCCGGTAAGATTTTCGCGGACAATCTGATCGATTTCTTTTACATAGTGTGCTTGGAGTGAAACTTTTCACCTTCAGCAAACCTCCGTCGAACGGTCCAGACAAACATAGTGATATGTCCGTGTTAAAACACACGAAAGGACTCTAAAGCACACTTCACTCTGATTGGGCAGAAAAACACAAAGATTTTCTGGCACCAATCAGATGGCAGAACGACTGCGACCGTTTGGAACTAGTCTTGTAAGACAATGTCCCCAGGGGCTCTTCTGCCCTTAACTTGAAATCGACTCACAGCCCCTGGGTCTCCGAGGATGGTTGTTCTTTTGATTTCGAAAACCAGAACTGTCGCCTGCACTTCACATGAAACGCGAGTAATCTCATTGACCGATAAAAAGAAGTGAGTCCAAGATCTAAGGGAAAAAATATCTTAGTACTGTCTGGTTTTCAGATATCAGTTAATTTATAATCTGCTGGGTTAAACGCTTGTCTACGAGTCTCTGACCAAGTTATGAAAAATTGATCACGAAATTACCGATAAAGTTCTCAATTCACACCTGCAGCTCAGCCGTGCTAGAGATATTAAGCCACTTTATATTCGCATGCCATGTTATTACTCGCATGCCATGTTCAGGCAAAGTTGTAATTCAGTGAACTAATGATAACTCAACGAGGCTTGATAAGGGATAGTTAATTGTTTCGCGGGCGTAGGAATTCCAACCAAAAATGATGCCTCTCTTATTGTTATCTGTGGCCAAAGGCAAGAATAAATATCTGTAGAAAAAAACCGTTTTAAATTGGAATGAATGAAAGGCATGATTCGCTATGTGTTCTGTAATATTTACAATGAAAATTGTTTATTTTCCAAAGCACGTTCAAAGTTGCGTGACGAGAGAAGCTTTGAAAGAGAATCTGTTTACCTTTGAAAGAGAATCCGTTTAACTTTAAAATCTCTCAAGGGTACGTGAGTAGGAAAGAAAATTAGTGGTGCGTAGTGTGAGTTCACCTAGTCGCGCTGACCAACAAATTATTTAAGTCCGCTCAATTAACAAGGAAATTCTCTGACTGACTTAACGACCACTGAGAAGCAATTAAAAACACTTAGTTTTCTGGAGAAATAGATGCTGCAGTTAATCATGGTTCTCTACATCAGCCTGCT